TCTGGATCATATTTTCCTGAAGCACAACATTAATTGCAAAAAACGTGGTAATTATTAAGAATCGATAACTTTTATCGATATTTCCCCTCGGAACAAAATGACGCGTTTGCATAATCACGAATAGTACTTTACCGTGTACCTACGAGCAGCGCATGGGAATAATTGCAGTAATTTTCATTATTGCGCGTCGACAATATGTACACGACAGAAATGCTATATAAGCATGCAGAATTTCGCACGACACGTAAGCGCGTGCATCGCGTCCCGTTTAAGCACACAGTCTGGCATCGTCAACGTTAAGAATTTCATAATCAAGTTTTCCACGGTATTTAGAGCGTAAGTTACGCATAACGCATGTTCAATGAGATTTCCGACATTTCCATCGTATATGGATTGTCACAGTGAAAAGCAAATAGCTACGAAATTAACTGAAAGATATAAATACAAAGACCATGCGGGTCTATAATAAGCACGTTGCGTAATTAACACGATATAATTTCGAGATAAAGATTTGTATACATTATTTTATTCATAGAAATTATTATTTATATAAGTTATTTTTGTATAATTATTATTTACATAAATTGTTTTATTTATAGAAATTAATATTAATTTTCATTCATTTGAAAAATGTACGCTTAGTAACAGTATTATATGCTATTTTTTTACACTCATGTTTATTCAAGTAAAAACAAGCGGGATATATTTGCGCACGTCTATAACACATATATAATTTACTATTACGTTATATCTTTAAACTAATATCTAAAACTTTGTAAATGCCTATTCCTGCTTTTATATGAAATTGAAAAATCACTCAAGATCAAGTACTACGATTTTATTAACGTAAACGACCATTATTGATTTGATAAGTATATTTCTTTCAGTTAACAATTAACCATCAATTCGGCACAGTCTCGCTGCGAATAAACTTTAATATTAAGAGCAGCAGCAACCACGCTTCTCTACTCGTCATTTCAAGATTAAACATGACAGCGTGATAATGCCGCGGCTGCAGTTGATACGAAAATTCTCCGCATATAGCATGCTGGACCAAATGATAACTCGCATCAACCGGTTGTCAAGAGCTTAGTTCTCTCAAAAATGTTCTACTAAATGAATCTCAATAAATTCTTCAAAACGCATTATTTTCCGCATTTACAAATACGGAGATCCGATCACGTTCGAAAAAAGTGTATTCGCCTGTTAATGTAAAATATGTGTAATTCTATATGGAAAGATCAATTTTGTTGAAGTATCTAAAAATTTAGCTAGATACGTATCTGAAAATAATTATATTTAAATCAAAATAATTATGTAGAACGCTCAAACTGGTTCTAGAATATTAAAATATTATTTTTTGCAGTAATCAAGCGTTTATAATTATTTTGATAATTCAAAATTATTTTCAGATCTGTATCTAGCTAAATTTTTCTATATTTCAGCAAAGCTGTTCGTGTATTGCAGTAATTCTCTGAGACTCTCTCTCTCTCTCTCTCTCTCTCTCTCTCTCTCTTGTGTTTTGTTTTACGCATACCAAGCTCTTAGATTTCAATCCTCGAATTCTGAGAGTTTCACGGATCGCGCGAGATTCTGCAATAATAAAATTCCCATACGTCGAACATTCTCTAGGAATGCCAGAGATATCGATTTCAATATAAAGATAATTCAAGAAAAGATATAATAACATTTTGATGCAAAGATAAACTATTTACGTAGTAACAGTTAATCTGCGTTTCAAATCTCGAGTTTCGGAACGCATCGGGCATGTTTGCTTGCTTACCTGATTGTATTAACTGTTACTGGAGCACATCGTGGTGATACAGAAAATCTGGCTGAGTTACGCGAATATGAGTTTGCCGACGACACATGTAATCGCATTAAAACACCTCGTGTAACGCAAGGAACCGCGCTGGTAATTATAAAAGTTCGCGACATCTAAGTAGCAATACATCGCCGGTAATTGGCGTAATGTAGCTCAATATACGAGCGTCATCGTAATGTAGCTTGATATACGAACGATTAAACTTTCAACAGTGCTCCACATAATGAATACGTCGTATCGGCGGATCGTGCGCGCTGCACCAAATCGTTAATGCGATACTCCCTTTAACGCTCTTTGTAAGTAATCGATAGCGTAATAAA